GAGTGGACGAGAGGTGGTCGACTACAGCGTTTGCCACTAAGTTCCGTAAGCCGCGAAACAATCACAGATCTGATTGCTGCCCAACCAGAACTTCGCCATCTGGATTATGCTCTTAAGTTGCACTTTGGTGAGCCAACATCGGGCCGGAACGGCAGTAATCGACCTTTCAACGTGAAAGGTGATCGGGTAAGCAACTTAGCTCCCTTTCAAATGACTATTCCGAAACGAGAGTTCAGGATGCTTCCAACTGCCGCATATTCAAATTTGGACAGTTGGTGACAGCTCGAACGTGTCTGCAGTGCTCAGCATGTAATTTAGTCTTCTCTGTGTTCAAAGTCTGGTTGCAAGTTGCTGTTCGTCGAACTCACTTGTAAGAGCCCACTTTATACAGGCGGTCAATACCTGTTCCCGAAATTGCTTCATGACTTAGACTTTCGTCTGTTTCGATCAAGGTACAAGTTCACTCCGGCTTGGCCATTCCCGCGGGAGATGGTGACCGATTTGGAGATTTTGATCTGTACGTACGTGCCAGTCATAAGTATATCGGTAGACCTTGGTTTAGCGACGTTGCAATTCAAGCTGAGTAGCATGATCCTAGTCTTCCTGCGAACGAGCAAGCCCCCCCCGGAGGATTGGTATGGCCAGCTCCGTTTGCTTCTTTCTTGCACGGATCTCTCGGGTGAGCTCCACGAGTTGGCTTTCGTCCGGTATTACAAAGAAGTCGAGGGCGAAGATGGGACGAAATGCAAGATGTTAGATTGGGATGCGGACTCCGCGGGGAATCCTGTCTACAGGTTAGTCCCAATTGAGAACATTCTGCGCGCCGTACATATTGTTCCAAATTACAACGAGGAGATTGAAAGTTCATGTTCGTTCTACATAAATAGATATAAGTGGTAGACAGGAAGCAAGCCACATAGGAACATTGTAAATTATGTAAAGGTTCAAGTGAAAAATACGCCTTTGTGACCCACCGGAAAATCAATCTCTGCATCAGATTCCTTTCAAATGCGAGTTCATAGCAGATGATAGAGTGCACACCTCCATTTGTGAATTTGATGTGCGCGGATGCTCGTGGATATAATGGCACACTCATAGGAGCTTAATTGCACTGATTTGTCGGAATCAGATCCAGACTGGACCTATGACGAGACCGTTTGCGGTCGTTAAGCGCCTATCTTCACATGTTCCGCGTCTTTAACATGCATCTAGTACGTTGCCATATATTTGGCGCATAGAAGCGACTAACAAGTGACGCATGATTACAACTAATTGTACTCATACGTATGTCAATTTGAACCAGCATATCATATACGTATACCCAGTTACAAACTCGCAGATATATATCTATCTGTCAGTGGTGTTTCCAATACGTGTGGCCGCGCGGACTCGAGCTAGGCGCATAGTATGTGATTGATACTTGTATGCTTTGATTTCAAGTGTATCTGCCATGGTGACGTAGAAGATACATATATGTCGGACATGCAGTGCAACTTTGTCACAAGTAGTCAGGCTGATGCAGCCGATTCAAAAAGGCTGGCGTGCTGCATACACATGAGCTTGGGGCCAAGGTGCCAGTCTCAGAGAACTGGGCGCATGCGGCCTAACTTACCGTCAGCTGATGCACTGCACAACTCATCTTGATGCATATGAACCGTGAGTCTTAAGTGCCATATAGTGCAAAGCCTTCCGACACAATGATAGCATATACTAACTACGATAAGCCAATAAGCGAATGTGCATCATCCCGCGCACGCCCGGCGGGGCACCGGCCGGGCGCGACCGCAGCCTGACGGCCTGGTTGCAATCATTGAATGGCCTGCCGGCTGCTTTATGCCAAGGCTCTAGTACTCGGCCGTACGTGCATTGTCAATGGCCACGGCGCGCGCGGGGCAATGCTTGCATGCGCGCGCGCGACCACGATCATGTCAGGGCGGAATTGCGCGCCGGCGCGCTGGACGCGGCGCGGCCGCTGTCGACCGACGGGCGGCCGCGCGGCCCCGGCCCGCGGGCGACCGGGGGCTCGGCCACCGCGACTTATATAGTGCGCGCGTACTAATGATACGTACGGTCGCGGCGCGGGCCGCGGCCGGCAGCTATATGGTACGGTACAGCTAACGCCAGCCGCGCGCGGCGCGTCGCCGCCGGGCGCGCGTGCGCGTCCGACGTCGGACTCAGAGGTTTCAGTGTCGCGCCGCGCGGCCGCGGATTTGGCAGAAACGTTTCCGGGGCGTGTCCGGTACCGTTACTATGTCGGATATGTTGCCGAAACGCACCGGGACAGTCAGTGGCGGTACACAGCGGATATGTTTCACTACTTTTGTCGCCGAAACATCGCCAAAAGGCCCCGGAGTTGTTATTTTTTAACGTATCCGCTGCGCTAATAGCACGGGTACATTCCGGAGACACACTCGTGTTGGTCACACATCTTTCCGATGGTCGTCGCCGTACGATGATCTAAAATGTAGAGCAGGCATTGATCGAACGGATAAGGGCTGCTCGACCTGCCAGAGTCTCGTTCCGATCCGCATCAAACTGTTCCGGCCTCTACTTTGACTGCTTCCAGAAGAACGAGCTGCCGACCTCCGGAAGCTTAGCAAGCTGTACAGGGCCACTTCTCTTCACTTTTAGGGTGCATGAAGACCAATGAGGGGCTTTCGGAAAGGCATTGAGCTGTAGATATGCTTCATACACACTTGGTTTCTCATTAGCATTGATTACTACGACTTTCATGAGTTGTATGTAGGTATTGAGCTTACATTGAGAGCACATGAGCTCCTCGAAATGCATGAGGAAAGTTCTCTTCGGAGACTTTGAAGCCCTGGGTCATGACAAAGAAATGCTCAAATCAGTCCGTAAAACTTTTAGCGAGTCACCTATTCGTGTTTAATGTTGGCAGAAAGTGGAAAATAGTTGGGGCATGCACTGCCTGCATACCCATTGCAGCGCATCATGTCGGACCCCATGCGCTCTGTTCAAGCTCCGATCCTGTCCACCATTTTGCAAAGCCGGTGGTGCTGCACTGTACGATTCGGCTTATTTCATCGACGGTGGAGGAATCATATAAGCCCAATCGTAGATTCTGCAGAGAACCGCCTGAATATTCTGTATTTCAAGGTTTCAAAAAGGCGGTATTCCGTATTCCGGGGTGCTCAAGCATTCTGTATTCCGTTACGCAAATGTGACTTTTGACATTTTGCAAGGTACATAAGGAGTGCGCTTGTCCTGTAAGTTATTTTACAATCTTCTTTCGTTCGAAGCATGCTTCTGGATGTCTTTTTACTTCGAAGTCAAGTATTTTGGCGTTGTTTGCCACATGTTGTGTAGTATGCTAGGAAAAGCCCTGTATTCTGTATTCTAGTATTCCAAGGCCTATTATACCCTTATACCCGCGATGGGGGTCTAAAGCGAGTTTAAAGCGTCACGACTCGATCATCCGGCCCTAGCTGACGGTACGTGCAATTAAGTGCCGCTCAGCCATGGCACCGACCGTCACCGTTCGGACTGCAGTGTCACCGCCATATGCGGGCGCCATGCAGTCGGGTCACAGGCTGGCCGCCGCGGCACAGGCTGCCAACATGCCAAGCGGCGGCCGCCCGGCCCGCGGCCGGCCGCGCGCGCTACGCCCCCGCTACGCCCCGGGCCGCGGGCCGCGGCACGCCGACGGTCCGACGGTAATGGCCGCCGCACACAATCTCGCGCGGCCGCCAGCAAGGGCTACTGTTGTACTGTTGTACTGTTCTACTGTACCTAGGTTGCTCAGCTTAAGTTTGTAGGTGGTCTTGGCTATCCAACTGCAAACCTGCTGCGCTTAGGCGAGTGAGATGTTCCATCGCGGAATATCGGATATCATCATGATGGCATCGCGATGACGGGCTCGCACACTGAGATTCAATGGGGTCAGTCGTGGGTCTGTCAGACAGACTCACAGACTTACGATAGATTGAGAGAGAGTCGCCGGGTAGTCTGCGGGACTTCTGCTCCGTACATGACCCACTGACCCAGTGTTTTACAGAGGCCTTAGGTACCGTTGCCTACATGCCTACTACGATTTCGTACACGGTCACACGACCTTGCTGGAGTGACAGGCCGTTGGGAGGGCGTTGGGGCGTATAGCGCGTTCGCGCGTGACTCCCACTCCTCCCATTCGCATAGACGGGGCATAGACTATACATTCATTGTGTCGTTTGAATAGCTGAGTAATAGAGTAGAAGACGAGGACCATTTCGTTTTCGAGTGCCCAGCTTATAGGTTCCTACGTACAGATCGTTACAATATGGATTACTTGGATTTGCTTGTTGGCCAGTCGTCGGACCAGTCCGCATTTTGTCTGCGTCATTTTATTCATGTTATAGGTCAAAATTCGGTGAAGAGAATCAGCACATGGCCTTGCTAGCTTTGTTAGAGAGGCGTTTAGGACTCGAAATTACATTCTGACCTTGTCTCAGAAGCCATCCATGGCTCCTACGGGATTTTAAAATAGACTGAGATTGATTGATTGATTGATTGATTGATTGATTGAGTGAGTGACAGTGATTGATTGATTGATGGCCCGGCGCCCGCTAATTCCGTCTGTCTCCGTACGTTACCATGTCGAAGCGCCTGGCCAATCCGGTGCAGCCAACCGGATCGTCGAGCTAGCTCGCAAATCGGTAGACGTTTTCACGATACAGCTCTGGACAGTTCCAAACCATGTTTTATTCTCGAGAAGCTGCCCCAACTTGCGTAACATCATTCAACGTCATTTAATACAATTTCACGTGCAGAAAGTCTAAACTTACGGCGCACGGCGGTCCGACTGCATGCCCCGGCGCCTATCCAAGTGCAACTACCCATACTATAGTACCGTCAAATTAAATCATAGTTGCATGGCCTTGGCATGTGCTTATTGAGTCCATGTCATGGTCTGAGTGGCTTGCACAATAGCATGTTCCAGCAGTGGCTCAGTCGGCCTTGGCGGCATCATTGTTGCATACACATAATATCATTGCGACTTCAATCATCGAATCAATTGGAATAGGAAGTCAAGTCTTTTTGGTGAGTGTAGCCGGACTAGTTCATATTGCTGACAATGGCAGATTGAGTCCAATGAACGGCTACATTCTATCACAAGTATGCGTACTTGTCACTTTCTGGTTTGTTTTTGAACACCTATGAGTGCTTCGTGCTGAGCGGTTCCAGCTTTAACGCTTGAATACTTTAGGAACCTGCTTGACCCTACCGTAGCGCCAAGCTTAGGCAACACTGCAAAGCTTGGATGACGAAAAACAACATTGCTCCAGTGTGCTGTACAGCGGACCTAGTCTACTGATTCCATCCAATTTAGGTACGTGAGAACGATTGACTCGATAGAACTGTACTGTACGCAGACCATGTACACCTAATTCAATACCTACCACACTAGATCAACAGTCTGGCCTCATGACAAATCCAGACCATCACCAAGAATGATTGCACTCCAATGCAGTGCCGGTTTCAAGTGAGCAATATGACATGAAAGACGTGGTCAATGAGGCTCCCAGGCACAAGCAATTTACTTGCAGTAGGGTTGGAGCATGCCCTTGTTCTCCAAGTAAGCCAGCAGATGACTTGCCATCTCCTCAGGCGTCATAGCGGACGCGTTGAGCAGGACCTGCGGTGCGGATGCAAAACTTTTCGATTGGCTACCAACTCCGACATGCGTCCTCGACCCTCCGATAAACGGCGGGACTCTCTTAAATGATAAAAGTGGGATCTAAGAGTCTTGATTGGGTAGGGCGGTTTGCGACACGAGGTTAGAACAGGGAGTAGACACTGTTACGAGCCCTGCACTGCTGAACCCCTGTCAGACTCCGGTTGAGCGCTCGATCGATTGAATGACAAAGCTCATGGAGAGTCCGGCGTTTGAGGGATGGAAGACTCGAGAGACCTTACGGCAAAAGGTTTCGAGGAAAGAGTTGCGGGAGGGCTTCGCCAGATGCTTGCCGGAAAAGGAGAGAATTTGCTCAGGCTAGGAGTTGAACTTGCGAATAAACGCTGAGGCGAAGGTTGTGTCCGTGGCCGTTTGAACTAGCCTTTGCTGGCGAAAAGTGACGTGACTGAATTACCTTCGCTGTGCCTGAAAGGAAAAATCTGCTGATCGCCGTTCATCTTTCAGACTGCTTACCGTCACTTGCCGAACAAAACGTGCCGGTCACCCAAAAGTTGCGTCCGGCTTCCAAACCTCATCCGCACTATACGAACGACCTTGAAGCGAATCCTGAATCTTTCATGGAAAGGGTATCGAACAACCACCTTCTGGATTCAGATTCATCAAATCGCTAACACTCTTGAGTATTCGACAAGGACACTTGTCAAGAAGGGGCTCTTCAAGAGGGGGCTAAAACGACCGGCTAGCGCATACACGAAAGGTCATTTCAGGGATGATAAGACAGTAGGAACTGGAAGTTGGTAGTCTGGGACCGGTGGGAATCTCATGAGGGACTAGGCTGGCTACGGGTGCATAGCAGGTAACCCTTTGGGTTTGGATTTAGGTTTTCTGTGCTACCCGGGAGGTTATCATTCCTGAGGCTTGTGATATCCGAATCGTTAGGTGGGCTACAGGGCAGAGCAGGTATTCCTTTGGGTTTGGGTTAAGGATCACCGTGCTAATTGGGAGGTTGTCATTCCTGAGGCTTGTGAAATCTGAATGGACCATGCCGCTTACCTCGGGATTGAGCGGCTCTTCGTACGGATCGTCGATGCCGGTGAAACCCTTGATGATCCCGGCCCGGGCCTTCTTGTACAGGCCCTTCGGATCGCGGCCCTCGCACACTTCAATGCTGGTCTTCAGGTAGACCTGGCAATGAAACAGCAGAAAAAGTCTTTTTTTTGTCTGAAGCTTCATATTTCGCTGGCCGTGAGTGGTTAAGAGTCCTTGTAGCTGCTGGTCGTTTGTAAACCTGGGGCGGGGCGAGAAGATGTGTTAGTCTGTTCTTCCAGCATTCTCGGTAAATTACTCACCCGGCAGCGTTCAGGTGAAGTGCGAATCCTTTTAGAACTGCTGCTGGGTCTGCCTGTTGGGTCAGCACTGGCAAGAACTGGGGGCGCAAAGAGCTTTTTCTTCCGTGCTGCCACTATCAATCGCCGTAATAGCTATCAAACAACTGTCTCCATGAGATTCCAGAGCCTCTCCTTCCAGGGTCTCTCGTTCTGAAAGTCAGCACTAGAGTCATTGAACAAGGTACTTCCTGATCTAGTACAGGCAACGCTACATAACGACAAGAGACAAAACCGATGGGTCCTAAAACCAGACGGCTAACCACGGCTTTGTGTCGTACTTTTGGAACCCCCCACCCTTTGAGAAGTAAGTTGACCAGAGTTTCAAAGCGGGTGTCCGTCAAAACAACGCTTTGTACGGGATTAATGGCCTCCCTTGGAATCAAGTCCCAGATGCAAGTAACCTGAACCCCAAAAGCGAGGGTCTCTCGTTTTCCGAGTCAGCACTAGAGTCATTGGACAAGGTACTTCCTGATCTAGTACAGCAACGCTACATAGTACAGCAAGAGACAGAACCGAGGGGTCCTGAAACAGAAGGCTAATCACAGCTTTTGTGTCCTACTTTTGGATACCCCCAGCCTTTGGGTGATTTGACCCGACTCTCAGAGCGGTTGTCCGTCAAAACAACGCTTTTACGGAATTACTGGCCACAATTCAAGCAATCGGCCCTCCCTTGCAGTTAAGCCCCAGATTTCGAGAAAGCTGAACCCCGAAGTAACAAACTCAGAAACCTAGAAACCGGAAAAACAACTGGACAGGAGAACCGAACTTCCACAAAACTTAGGATTGCAACTCCTCAAATCATATAAGGTTTTACACTCAAAATGTCAATCGTCCGACATTGTTGGGAGATGTGGGCAGAGGCGCTGAGACAGCAATGGAGTCTCTGTTTCTCCTCCATCCGTTCCAGGGAAACAATTCCCGCTTAGGCGGCTTGAATATGTAAAAGCGGGTTCCTAGTCCTTCTCTCGTTGAGGTGGGTCGGTCGGTTGGAAGAACATGCTAGACATTCTGATGCTACGTCTGGCGGAACCCGGGTTCTCTTCATATGAGACACCGAAGCTTCGCCTGTAACATGCAGAAATCGACATTCTCGACTCTGAATGAAACAAGCTGAGGCCAAAAGGTGGGAGTCAACAACCATTTTTTCAGTACCCTTCGAAATTTGCGTCCATCATGACTTGAAACGAGTCAGTCATCTTCGAACAGTCTTAGGGTGCACGTTTGACCAAAAACCAACTTGTTCTCCAGTGTTGCCTTTTTAGTGCCGCCAAGTAGAAGCTACGTACCCCTTCAGGCCAAACTACTGCTTTGGTATGTACGTTTGTGACCACGTGAATCTACTGGATCATTTCATTGGCTCAAAGCTCGGAAACAGTCTGAAATGCTTTTTGCAGCTTTTCGGTCGTCGCGGACTCTTACCTCGATGAACTCGCCGGGCCCCAGAAGGCTCCGGCACTTCTCGCGGTCCTTGATGTACGGGGAGATGAAGCTCACGATGGTGATCACGCCGCAGTCCGCAAACAACTTGGCAACCTCGGCTGCGCAAGGGAAGGAACAGGCGCGCTCGGGTTTTTCTGGCTCCGTTTCCCAAGGCTCATCTGATAGCTTTCCTTCTCCGTCGTGGAGATCGCGCTTGTTTCCGATGTGCTAAGATGTCTGACACTGCTCCTCAAATAATCTGGAGCATTCGGCCCAAGCCTGGGAACGGACACGTCCTACATCAATTAGGGGTCCAATTCCGAAGCTCCTGGCTGCGATGCCTTAAGCTTGAGGAACACTCTAAGCAAGCCTCAGACTGGTTCACAGAACCATTGCTGCCTGCTCTCAGATCCAAGTTCTCTGCCAGACACCCCAAAGGTTGGAACCTACTCGACAAACCTGAGGAAGAAGAAAACAATAGTAGCACACTAGTTAAACCCCTAGTTTGATCATGGCTGAACTCACCAACTCTCCGGTTGTTCTCCGTACGGTCCTCAGAGCAGAAGGACAGGTTGTTGCACAGGCCGTGGCGAATGTTGTCGCCGTCCAGAACGTAGCTCAGCCGGCCCATCTTGTTGAGGGCGTGGTCCAGCGTGTAGGCCAGAGTGGACTTGCCTGAAACAGGTTTAATCAAGATGTTAACTCGAAGTTAACCCGGTGGTTGACTACAGATGTGCAGATGGTGTTAGCCCAGGGGTCATCACACGGTAGAGTTACTCTCTTGTTGGACACATGGACTGAAAGAGCAAAACAAAAAGTGATACCAGGGTTTGATCTGAAGGCTGTACCACTTATCTACAGTATTTTCAACTGGCTTACATTAGGGTTGATTACTCTCAGATGATGAGATGCTAGTCCTCTGAGGTCGTTCACTTATAATAAGAGGTTTCCGCAGATGCAGTTGGTGCTTTCTTTGGATCCAAATGAGGAAGAAGCGTTTACAAGGGGGTTATCTGCGCTCGGATGAACTGGACTTTATAAATGTTGAGCTCGTGCTTTGACACAGGCTTGCAGATGAAGGGGTGTTCGAACTCACTTGCTCAGAAAAAACAGACCATTGGATCTCAATGCGGCAATTATTAGCAACGTATTAGTATCAGAAGAGGCTAGAGGTTGTGAGCCAACAAACGAAACTCTCAACCAGCAGATGCTGTACACAACACAGGTATCAAGCGTCCAAGCTCACACAAAAGGGGAAGTAGGATCTCCAATCAGATCCGGAAAGAATTCAGTCAACCGCAGGACAGTACTTTGTAGCTGAAGGGCATGAAATTCCAGGTAATACTTGGAAATGCAAATTATGGGGGACTTGGATGTTACCACGTTTCTGGTGGACACATTCAGTCCGAACCGCTCAAAGGTACAGCTTCTGAGTTGAGAGCAACCGACCAGGAACACAGAACCAGAAGGGACATCGAGGGCAGGCAATCCGCGTTCTTACCTTTGGATCTGTTCTCTAGTGATTCTCATCTCCTTATGCTCATACAAACTGGCTTATTCTTATCTTCCCTCTTTAGACAGCCAGTCACATCACAACTGTCAAATTTTCTGGTGAAGCCGTCTGATTATTGTAGATTCTTCCGACTCTTCGACTCGCTCGCTTAAGTCTCTGGCCCAAAACATAAGGGTCTTGATCTCTTGAAGTGCCTGATGCCAGATTTTTAGAGCATTCTCAAGTTTTGCCTTACCTGTGGTCGCCACTCAGTCTCAAGTTTTGCCCAGCCTCAGTCTCTGCCTGAGAGACTAAAGATGATCCAGAAAACTTGTGTGCACAACCAGTCGAGTCAGATACTCCGGAGAATCGCCAACCCGGCGAAGACGTGACCTCAGCAAAGATGTGAACGCTGACTCACCTGAACCGCTCAGGCCCGTCATCCAGAGCACGCACCCCTTCTGCCCCAGGAGCTCCTCACGATCCGGCCGGCTAGTCATTGTTTCGTGCCACAGAATGTTGGTGGACTGGTTGATAGTGTAGCAGGGTTCCAGGATGGTCTTCCCAGGCTTGGAGCCATCGACAGATCCTTTGGCCACGCCGTTTGGCTTTTTCACTGCAGCCTCCTCTAGTTCCTTTGGGACTGGGAGAGCCTCAGCGAGGGGGCTTGCTGCATTAAGAGGCGGAGTGAGGTCAGCGCTGACAGAAGCCGCGGTTCAAGTTGGGGTGTGATGTCAAGTTCAAATATCTCGCGTCGGGGTTAATAAGCAGTGCTGAACGCGTTGAGGTCAAGGTCCTCTCCATTCTCACGATCAGGGAGGTTTTGGAAGGTGAACAGAAGCTGAGTAGCTTGACCAGCAAGCAGTATTCCTCTCTGTGATATCGGCTAGTTAGCTGACCATCATTGCTGATTGAGGGGGATCCCTGTTGCACCATGTGCCTCTGGTTGACAGATCTTTTGCATGAGATCCTTGTTCGTGAATGCTGTCTCTTCAATAATGATCGCTAGCGAATCATTTCTGAAAGTGATGCGAAAGAGACTTGTTGTCAATCTTTGCAGTCCGCACCCCCTGGTGCGAGTGACACCACGAGCTGGTGCGAGTTACACCTCCTTGCTTAGGGCAGACGTGTCAGACTGGCCGCTTCTATGATTCTTGGCTACAAAACCAAAAACTGCAAATTAATAATGCAGGGAAAGACAAGGGAAGCAAAAAAGGCTGACAATCCAAAAGACAACGCTTATTGCAAAGCAGTAGAAGAACAGGAGGTTGAGATCCTGACGAGATGCATTATGCATACTGGCCAGGGCCCCATTCACCAGATCTCAAAGAATTTACCATAATCTGTGGGAGGCTTTGAATCCACTGAAATTGTTGCTAATATTACAAATTTATATGTCTGAGTTTGCTTACTTCACTTGCAGCAAGGCTTGCAACAAGACCAGCAGAGGCTCAGGAAAGTGCTGAAAACACCAAAAGTCTCTATTCAAGGGTTTCAAAGCGAGAGGAAAAACCAACTGTTATTCAAAAGAGTGTCTATAATGCAGCTAAGAAGTCACCTATCTGCTTTGGAAGAATGACAAATGAAAGTGCCCAGAAAAAAATTGACTGGTCTGCCTTATAAGTTATAGATTCTTGGAAGCTGACCTGCCGATCGCAAAAATTTGCAGGATGAAAACAGCATCAGCATTGATGACAAGATACGCGCTATCACTGCTCTGTAGAAAGATTCAATCACGTATGACAATGCTGGACCAACGTTGAACAGGCTGATTGAGTGTACAGACAAACTGTGTTTGGAAAAGTGTAGATCTGTAGCTGTGCTCATCGGTGTTTTTGAAAATATGTTGATTCAAGGACCAATCCTTTAACATTACGCGTACAGCCACACTTGAAACTGAACTGAATTGAGAGCTTACCGCGCAAAGCGGAACCTCGGGGGATCTTTTGCTGCTCAGTCTGTTGCAGGCCTCCGGACGGGTCTTTTGAGGGGTTTGCGACATTGCCAGGAAGTTGACACCGAATGCTAGGGGTTTGGACGCCTGTGCTCCGACGCCTTGGACATCTCTCCCTTGCTTCAAAGGGACATAACGCCGCCTTCTGGCAGAGTCTGGTTGCAGCCTGCATTTTGCAGCTGCAGCGGGTCAAGGGTCTGGTTCTTGAACCCGGGGTACCCCTCCAATGAGCAGATCTACCAAGAGCGATGGATGTTTGCGGTGTTTCAACAAGTGACCAGACGCTTACGATGACAGCTCCCTGTGTTCGTTCGGGGACAATGGCTGGACCCAAGAACCTTGGAATGAGCAGATCTACAAGCTGGTGAAAACAAGCCTACTTTGCTTTCAAATGTGTTAGCTCTGGGCAACACTTGGGAAACGCGAAACCACCTCGGTCACAGCTGAAAAAGAAGCGCCTCTGGTGCTGCCTTGCAACTGAGTAAGAAAAGTGGCTTATTTCCATGCGATGATCGACGCCGGACAAATTAATTAAAACCATATATCGCAGATGTCGATGCTCCCGACAAAATTGTCAAGACCGTGCGAAATGGCACATTTGACAAGAGGGTTGGACCGCCGTTGCATCGCGCACCGTACGATCGGCAACGCACGGTCCGATATCGACCGTGCGCAACGCGACCGTGTCGACCCACAAAGTTGCTCGCCGCGACTGTCTCAATTGCAGTACATAAGGGCGGCGCCCCTTATTGGAGGGGGTGGGGTGGTGGTTCGACGTCTTGCCCCGGGTTCAACCAGCACTGCAAGTCCACTAGCATTAGGGTCTCGCGTACCGCCCGGGGAGCAACCGGGCCCTCCCTGTGACATTAGGGTCTCGCGGGCAACCGAGTGACAACCGGGCACTTCCTAGCGACATTAGGGTGTGTGGCGGTCACTCTATCCTAGGTTTTTATAGTGCCCGGTACTTCCCTGTGACAACCGCCCGGGGATTCTAATTTTGTAGACCACCCGACATCTGCGATATACGGTTTTTATTAATTTGTAGACCACCCTCGCTATCGCACGGATTACAAGCACTTTTATGCCTGTTGCAACTAAGGTCAAACCATCAGGTTCAAAGACAACAGTTGAGCTTTTGAGGCGCTGTTGGGAAGACGCCAAGAGAAGCCATGAATAAGTAAATGATTGGAACGTGCGTACGGATCACACTACCTACTCATAAATTATACACGTCGAAGAGTGTGTGCTCAGCCTTCTGTCCTGAGGTGAATGAGCACATAGCTGCGCCTTTTCCCCCATGCTGATGTGCAGCAACCACGTATGGACCGAATGCTTCTGAGACATCACATCGACGGCTCAACACGTCTCCTCAAAAGCCGCATTCAGGCATAGGGGCCAGAGACATATAAAATGCTTCATGCAAACCCCAACTAACCAACTGATTGTTGGCATAAAAGCCGCCAATCTCCGCGCGCCACGTGTCCCCCCGGCCGAGAAAGCAGGCCTCCTGCCCGAACCGGCCAATTGCATAAAAAATATTGTACAGGTCGGGGCGTTTTTTGTGCGAAAACGGGGGGTCGGGGTCGCCGGAGGCGGCCCCGTGGGGATCCACGGGGCGAAGCCCCGGGGCGAGGGGGGCCGAAGGCCCCCCTCAACGAGCCTCCACAACAGAACTGCCAATAGGGTTTTTTCCTTCAACCCTAATTTATACAAGCAGAATGGTGCTTGCTCTAGCTAGGGCTCGGAGCCATACTGTCCGCCATACTATCAACAAGCTGGCATGACACTACACCATGCACTTGAATCCGTTTAATGTACATCTCGCTTAAGGCGTGCAATGCAATCTCGCCTTTACATTCGAAGTTCATAGTGAGAAACAATAGTTGTTAGTCTCTTTGTCATGCTTAATCCTTTAATCGGTTGTAGCGGTGTAATTCATGGCCCTGATTAGAGCTCGATTTGAGCAGAAGAGACGAATTAACCTTGAAGCGGATTTTGTGGATTGCAACAACACTCTGCACCATCAAGTCTAGTCATTTAATACGTGCATTCACCTGTTCTACAATCACGCTAGATGCCGTCTATCAAGACTCAACTTAAATAAATCAAAAACAACATGCTGCTTACCTTAATTGTGCCCTAAGTCTAAGAACGAGAGGTTCAATTCAAAATCTATAGCTAACTAGTCTGTCTTTGTTGCACTGGCCGTAGCCGGCACCGACTCTCTTGGACACCTACAATCTCTAACGAGGAGCCCGCACCCTCTCCTACAACGCTTTTTTACACCTACACCACCCCTTCGATTCTTAGATGGTCGCAGTGGGGGAAGTGAGTGGCGCGACAAATGGCTCCCAAGCTGCTCGGGATTGTGCTGTTGATTGGGCTGTGTGAACGGACTCTGATATGTTGGGTGCGGCATGTGTGTGAATGGCCCAAGGCCATGACCCGCGATGTGGGGCGACTGGACGTGAAAGAGATGGTTTGGATTGATGGTCGGCAAAGGTGAGTAGTTGGAAGTAGGCTGCATAGAAAACGAGTGGTAAGCGTGGAGCGAGTTGAGTGAGTCTTTTCGCATGATCCCAGTAACGAGTTCCTTCTCGTACTTCTTCAAGAGCACGATATTCTTCTGATGGATCGCATTATCTGCCCCCGAGACATGCGAAATGGTAAGAGCGGCCCTCTGATTCCACTCCTGACACATGTTGGCCCAGTTGGTGGAAGACTTGCTGGAGTGTCTAGTATACAACTCAGAGAAAAGGCGGACTTCGGCTGGGGTCGATACAGGACGAAACAATTCTCGAAGCGCGGGTCGCCGCACTCCACGCTTCTTGATGAAAAGGAGCCGTCCGTGTCGTTTCACCTCTTGTCGAGGCTCCACCGGCGGGCCCATATCTCCAAGCGGCCCTTCAGGTTTGCCGACACCTGCACGGTCTCCAAGAAGCGAAGTTAGATGCCGACGTTTATATTGGCAAAGCGGACCTTGGGTTCGCTACAAAGTTTGTATCTCAACTCGGACGGTCGATACTCAAAAGTAGACTCTCCAGGCTTGCACAATACGGCAATCTCAAACCAAACAAATGATATCAGCTTGCCACGCACTTCCTCTAGGAGAGAACAAAACGTATTTGAACGGGCTGACGTCATTACTAACATGGTCCAGTCCAGTCGTTTGAGATGCACGCCAAAACTTGTTGTTGACTGCTCGAGTGAACCTTGGACAACTTTGCACGACTTCACCAGCCAAAGCAGCCAAATGCATGTACCTAGGGGTCAAGGCTAAGTCTTGCCTAGCTGCGAACCGTCCCGCTGCAACGGGTGACCTTGAGCTTGTGGATCGATGCCCCCACAGAAGAGGGTTGGTCCTTGAGCTACGTACAAAAGAAGAACGTGTCAGGATCTCAAGGAGTGGCACCAGTGGAAGGCCTGCAAAATGGTACGCACTTTAGGATCTGGTTTTTGCTGCGATGCAAGATTGTGACGTGCGATGCAGGATTGTGATGTGAGAAGATTCTTTCTCGCAATCAGCCCTTAGTCTCAAAAACGACGGCCTTCACATTAAAAACCCATGGATGAACGTATTGGACGGGCAGGATGTTCTGTTCCGAAAAACTTACGGAGAGGACGGCTTTCTCCGTGAAGGCCTCCGGAGGTGTTGTCTTTAGGCGTCCGCTTTCATTTCAACGCTGCACGAAAGTGAACCGGTCAATAGCTGAATCAGGTGTCGGCGCTGGTTGCGAGGGGAGGGCTGCCAAAGCGCGCGCTGGCTGCAGCGCTGGTTGCGGCGGGGGGGATGTTGGCACTGGTTGCGAGGGGAGGGCTGCCGTCTTGTGCGCTGGCTGCAGCGCTGGTTGCGGGGGGGAGGCTGCAGCGCACGCAGGTGCTTGCTGAACAGGAAGCGTGCCTGCAGCGATCATGGGCTCAAAGTCAGGTAGGAAGAATAAAGCAATAACCTCGAGCAGGATCAACATGGGAAATTCAAGTTGGAAGCAAACCACATGTGCGCATCTTGTACTAGAAGAAGTCGTTGTAAGTAGTGAACATGGGCAGCTGCAAACAGTACGCAAGGACTAAAATAGGACATGGAAATGCGAGCGTGCGCAGACATGTACAAGTTTGAGGACACCTGAGCAACTTGCGGCTTTCCTATTTTGCACGAACATGTGTGTGACCTGAGCAGCGCTCTTGATCAAGTTGTACTGTTAAGCAACATACGAAGTTTCAAGTGCTTACCAGCGGCATGCATGCTCTTGAGCCACTGCTCCTCCAGCATGGACTCCACAATGGCGGCTTCTTGATCCAAAACCTCGGGTTCCGGATCTCCCCCTTCTCGAGACACCGCTGTCTGCATCTCCACGGAGGCCGCATGGACCCCAAACCGCTCTTGAGTGGGAGGGGCTGGCCGCCACTCGGGGCAAGGGTTAGGCCAACCCATGGCAGCGCAAGTTGCTTGCATCTCCTCTAGAAGCCAGTGGTCGAACATCCCCCAGTCTTTTGCACCCTTGCTGCTCACGGCGCACTCGTAGTTCTACCGGTAGTTAAATAGAGCGATGAGGGCCCCAGCCAGCTCGGGGGAATAGTTGCCTCCCCCCAACAACGCGTTTAGGTGGCGGTGGTACCCCTCAAGAGAAGAGCAACCACGAATTCCGATGTACGGCGGCATCGCATCGGGGGCGCTGACCAGGATGTACATCGCGTCAACACGGAGCGGATCTGCATCAAGCAAACAACTTCACATGCTCAACGACCAGGTCCAACTTAGAAGAGTGTGACTGTTTCCGAGATTTTTGTCCAACCCTTTGAGGACACGTTGTTGTCATAAACTCAGGACGTCACTGATAAGCACGCTTCAAGTTGCTTCAAAGTGGACAAGAAGAAGCTAAGGGAGCAATTCATACCAGCTAGCTTCCTGCCGCCATCAATATAGAAGAACATCAAAACATTGCAGTTATACCCTGGACTGTAAGAAGCTCAGGAAGCACTTCATTTGTAGTTCCCACCCGGCACTTTTTAGGCACGATTTCGACAAAGCACTTGGTAAACAAAATGTCAACAAAGTAAGGCTTACTCACCGCTCAAACAACCCTCCTGCATGAGCTGTACTTGCCGCTCATGAGCAGCCCGGACCTCCTCCATGATGAGTGGGTCCTGGTTGATGCCACAAATTGACGGGAGGTACTTGGCCACCACCGGTTCTACCCCTGCCACCAGCTCCTCCGGCTGGGGGATGATGTGCCGGCAACGTGCGCGCCAGTAGCTCTGAGGTTTCGCATCGACCTCTGCCCGGGTAAGCTTGCGTCTTCCTGCCCCCCCGCAAGAAGGAAAGCTCGCAGCGCCTGCTTGTCTCGTTGATGGAGCTTGAACATCGCTGCCGCATAGTCTCGGCAAAAGTCGGCTGCAAAGCAAAACAAAGTCGGTCACCGAAAAATCCCTAAGATAAGCTTCAATAGATCTCGGCGCAACAACAAAGTTGGATTGCCCTTTGGAACTGCAGCCATGGTGCGCTAAAACCTCTGACGCGGCACTCGGTATTTACAAACAATCTGTCAAGAGTCACATCTCGTCCTACTGTTTGCAGACATGACGCAAGTCGCAAAGGAAGACTCCAGCCCAGTTCTTACAGACCTGTAACAAAGCAGTTTCGCAAGGTAAAATCCTCACCTTTGCTCGTGTGCGCGTCAGGAATGAGTTCGAAGATGCGACGCAGAACGTGAGTGGCATCCTCCAAGACCTTGGACAAGCTAGGAATGGCCTTGAGCAGCTGATTGGCCACACAGCGTGAGTTGTCCACCCACATGAACTCCGGCGGCTGACCAGAAAAGAAATGTCAAGATGTCAGGATGTCAGGAAACATCAGAATGTATCAGGTGCAGGTCTCGAGAAAACGTGCACGGCCATTAGTATGCAAATTGCGCACATAGTCTGAGATATGAGAGCTAAGAAAACGAGTGCGCATGTGCGATGTTACAAGCTAGAGTCACAATTCACCAAAAGCAGTCAAGATTCCAGCGGCCATACAACGATGCAATGTATACAGAGAAACACAGGGATATGATGAAGCCTTACCTGGAAACCGAGCTCGTCGTAGCGCTTCAGAACATCTGAGAGGCCACATGCGTACTGGTCGAACGACGTGTCACCCACAGCCCACTGTCCAACGATCTGTGACCACTCATTCATTATGGAGTAAACAGCGGCAAAGTCCTTCCGTCCATCAGCAGAGCGGATACGGGAGGCCGCCTGAAAGGTGTGATCGCCCCGCCAGTAGATGCCATCCACCGCAGCAAGGTGGCGACTAATGAACTCCATACGTGAGTTCAGAGAAGCTAGAATGACGCCTGCATGACACATGGAAGGACCGAGCTATGTCAAATGAGTGTAGCTTTGATGCTCTGAGGCAAGGCCGGAAACAATGATCACATTGTACAATCATGCAGTTGTACAAGCTTCTCTGAATGGTTTGAGTTATCTGAACCAAACAACCACAGCACTGTAGTTTAAATGGCAAGCCTACTGCAATATGCTTATTGCCTGATCAATATGATAGCTCTTTATGCTCTTCAAGCTGCAAGAACTTCGGCCCTGATGGCCTGGCAATGTTGCAAATCTGCTGCCACCAAGAAGGTAACGTGCAGAAACAATTGATCATCAACAGATTAGGCAATTTTGAAGTCTTCAACGTTGACAACCCCAGCGTTCAAAGTGATCCAACGCATTCACAGATCTGCTGCGCAAGATGCAAACCCTGTGCAGCATGCCTACAGTGGAGCAACCATCCTGATAAGGTTGCCATTTGTGTGTTAACAAGAGAATGGAAAGTTACCTGGGCAACCCTCTCCCGGCTTCTTGCCCTCTCCACACCTGAAGACCTTGCTGTAGAGAAAAGCAGGCGCGTTCGCACTGCAAACTCTCCTCATCTTCTCATGGGTCCAGCTGTCAGAACAGACTTTATCAATCTTCCCACACTTGGGGCAGTAGATGAAGGGGACCAGCTCCCCAAAGAAAAATTGCCAATGAACGAAGTACACTACTTTGCCAGCCAGATCATTGGAAGTGATTTGGGTGCAAACTATCTTGGCCCCTGCTAGCCTGCACAGCATTTGGATACTCTCGCTTCATGCTGGGCCACTACCTAGGGTCAGGAGCCTGATCTTTTGAGGGGCCCTTTCTTTGGATCTATTTTAGGGATCACCCAAGGGGGGAGTGATTTCTTGTCCTTCCAGTCTGGAGGTGGTGCCACCTGGCTGTGACACCATTTTACTAGATCCCCTGCACAGACTTCATCCTCTTTTCTTGGATCATAACTTGCAGTGCTGACGGAGGCTCCTGCAGCAGCTCCACCCGGGCCAGACGCCATGGTGCGGTTGGTACCTGTCAGAGCAGGTGCCAAGCCCTCTAGCTCAGTATTCGAAAGCTTGCCTTGAACTTCTGAGCAAAGCCTCTTCAAAAGAGAGACGAGTCCCAACTTCAAGACTCTTGAGGTAGCATGCAATACCGTTTGTTGCTCGCCGACTGAGCGGAACGGAACGGACGCAGCAGCCAATTCGGAGCCTGCTGGTCGCCTTTGCTGTAACCCCCAGCTTCAAGCCGCCTTCTGCAACTGTCAACCCCCCCAGAATGCTGTGTTGGCCGTGGATTTTGAACCGCTGGATCGTCTGCCAGCTGCAGAGATTCAACGGCAGATTCTTGGTCGTTAGTCCGACTTTACGCCGTTCAATCTGACCTCTCGTGCGTCGTTAGTCCGAGTTGCTGCCTCCAGGATGCACGTTAGTCGGACTTCGAATCTAAAGTCGGACTAACGAGGCACCAGAACGCAGGATTTGACCCCGGACTGCGGCCGCTCGCCCGTTCGGGGGGCAGCAAACCCCAACTAACCAACTGATTGTTGGCATAAAAGCCGCCAATCTCCGCGCGCCACGTGTCCCCCCGGCCGAGAAAGCAGGCCTCCTGCCCGAACCGGCCAAGCTGCCCCCCGAACTGGCCTGGGTTAGAGACTTTCCGGGTTACCTTAGGACTAGAGGGGAAAGAAACCAGCCCCAGCGCCACTTGGTTCACTTCAGAGTTTCAAGCAGGAAGGACGTCTTTATATCACAGATTCACACTGGCTGCGCCTGCTTGTAAGAAGCAAATGCTCATACTGATACAATGCTATTCCACAACACCATTGCTCATAACATCTCGAAGGTACCATGGCAAAATGTCCATTTGCCTTCACGCCCGGTTCTGAAGCGACTGCTGCTGCCAATATGAAGGATATCGCAGCTACGAAGTGCCCCTACTTGGTTGAGAACAGGGACAAAATTGTGCATGTAGAAAAGAAGAGTGATGCTGAAGAGAAGCCAGGTTTTTGCCCCTATGGCTTTGGGGGTGCACCTCAGTGGACGGAGGGGTCTGTCCATATGGCTTCGGACGCACGATTAACGTTTCGGACACGGCCGACAGTCTGAGCTCACTTAGTGTAGACGGACACAGCCTGGTTGAAGAGGAGGCCAGGGTTGAGGGCCGGAGTTCTGAGCCAAGGTGTCCGATGGGTTATGATTCGGACACCGTCAAAGTCAGGCGCCTGACGTGCCTCGGCTGCAAAACGCTGCTTTTCAACACCGTGCGCATCCTGCCGTGTCGACACCTCTTCTGCAACAGCTGTGCCGTCCGGTTGGACGCCTGCGGATTGTGCGGTGGGGAGAAGCAGTCCTTGGAGCAGGACGATGAGACGAGAATGCTGGACCGCAACGTGAGCTACTTTATCGAAAAGTATGCTCGACGGAGAAAGAAGGACGCTCAGGGCACCCCCGCGGAAGCACAGGAGGCTAGCGGCCAATCAGAAGGGGGCACCAGTAGCAGCACCCAGGATCTGTCCCTGGAGCAAGGAGGTCTTCTTTTGCAGCTGGCGATGAGAGTACGTTTCATGACTGAGCACAACTTCCCCAGTAAATATGATACATCTTCTCATTGCCTGCGCCGCTGCTCCTGAGTGAGGGGTCCTGTTGGGGACTGGAAACTGTCAGCTTCTTGAACTTCCGGTCCTATCATCCATGATTGGGTCCTTGGTGCCAATTTATAGCTGCTGTTCATTCTGTCTGGTCAAAATTCCTAATCGTTGACAAAACTGGTCCTTCCCCCCTGGAATAAGTTGCGTGCTCACTGTTTAATAGTCAGGCTGAATGACACGGTGGCGTTGCTTGAAGTTGGTTGTAACGTTGGTGCTACATGTGCTCAGCCCCCCAGCAACAGGCGTCTGACGTCATCAGCTGGCAGCCTTGGTCGACACAGAGCGCAATGCTTATTAGCGCAGGTACTGAAATTCGTCTGTCTCTGCAGGCTTATAATGGTCGAAATAATGAGAGCTCCATCCACTTGCTCAAGCTCTGCGAAGAGGACTTGAGGAGCGCTTTGGCTGAAAGAAGGACCTCAGCCAAAAGTACTCTGTCAGCTTGGTGCCATAGCAGGCGCACGAGGGGATGTGTATCGGAGCTCGCGAACATGGTTGGAGCTGGTCCAGGAAAAAAATGCAGAGGTCAGTTCCCGAAGTTTGCTCGAAAGAGCGAAGCTCCCTTATCCTTCCAGAGGACAAGAGGGCCTGGCAAGCCTGAGCATCATTGTTGCCCCTCATGTTTACTTATGCAACTGTTCGTTTGTCTGTAAGGACAGGTTACTCAAGTGCAACTCCTTCCTGGATTGGCTTTTCAATAGTTAGTGGTTTCCATAGAATTCTTACATTTGATCCGTTGGCCTTCTCGTCTCTCAGATTGTCCATGATCTGTCGGTTGCATACAACAAGCTGGGCGACCTGCACTACCTAGCCAAGCGACCAGATGAAGCGCGGGAAGAGTACTTGAGGGCGCGGACAAAGCTGATTCCACAGCATCGCAGGTAGGCAGCTTTCTGTGTTCCGCTGACTGATGTCAAGATCCGAGCAGGACTTGGAAAGCTGTGCTTTGAAGATGGCAACAGTCTTGGCAGTACAGCAATGATGATTCTAGTTCAGACTTGGATGCGGATGATCCACAACATCAACCGTTCCAGTGTCCCCAGTTTGTCACGTGCATTCTTACTTACCAGTGTCTCAGCGGTTCTCGTCCCTCCCTCTTTCCATGCAATGGTGTTAAGTCTCTCGGGAACGCAGGTTGTCTTTGTTGCAAGTACGCTACTGCTCTACGTTCCCCGTACATTAGGTCATCACCTCTACTCTCAATATCTCCTTCAGGTCCTCGATCTGGTCGTGTCTTACACGAAAGTTGCTGACCTGGACCGCGCTTCAAAGAAGGACAGAGCAGCAGGGGCGCACTTCCACGAGGCTGCAAAGGTGGCTGCACAGCTGGGGCAGAGACGGGAGGAGTACAGTGGGGCCCTCGAGCAGAAGGTAGGCATTTATAGAATGAACACTCTCAGTCCATTCGTTCCACTGAACGAGAGACCGTCAAAAAAGCCCCTCGTGCTTCTGACGTTGATTATGTTCGTGGACTGGAGCTCTTGCTTATGATGTTATACAAGGGCCCTTGCGATATTGTTGAAGCTTCAATGTTTTCGTCTGCTCAGGTTTCTGGGTGCAAACTAGTCGACTTTTCACCATCTTTGGCTTCTCGTCTGTAAATCACTGCTGAAGTGGACCTAGTTTATTTTGCAGCGACTGGCCTTGCTTGCCTTCATTGGAGCACAATTGCAAGGACTCAGGAAAGAATGCCCATTGGGACAAGACGAAGCGTACATTCGTAGAGTTGGCCCGCACTAGATACCTCGTTCGTTTTCCTTGTAACAATGCTGCTGCGAATGTTCAATGCCCCTTCACGCCCGATCTTAGGTGCCAAAACGTATCAGGCCTAAATTAGTACCCCATCTCTGGGTCGGGTGAGATGGGGTACTAAGAAGGCCTGGATGCATGCCCAATTCAGCAAACGAACAAGCAAACGCTACTCTGAAGACAGGACTACACGTTTTGGCCGGTTTGGAATTCGACTTGAATTTCTGCAGAAGCAATCTTGTACTCCTGTCCCTAGCTCTACTCTAAGATCATATTGCATGCAGCTAACCCCATTTAGGCAGGCTATAAAGATCTTGCATATAGGAGTGGGTATATGCGCACGCGTTCATCACTACTTGTGTCACGCACATATGTTGCCCTTAAGCCTATTTGCATGACGGGGGATCGTGGCGGTCAGTATAAAGCTACGTTGCTAAATTGAGCAGAATGCAAAATTCACATGCATATGACCGGCTATAGTCAAAGCCTGCACTTCATATGCCCGCAAGCTTTCAATCGACTATTCGATCTCGAACCTTCTTCGAGCCTCACATGCATGAATATACGTTAGCTTGATAAAGAAAAGGTGATGTCAAGAGGGAGAAACATTGCAAGGATCCTTTCCCCGCTTTTCAGTGGGGCCATTGCTGATTGATTCTGCGTCTGCAGCTTGATTGCTGCCTTGGACACGACGGCACACGCTTCGTATTCGAACCGATGCTAAGTACTCTCAGGTGCGTAATGAGGCTCTGCTAGGAACGGTCTCAGAATTGGAGGCATGCTTCCTCGGTCTCTTTACAGGGCAGTTTACTTTGCACATATGTTTAGCCGATGCACTAGCTAAAGGAAGCCGCTGCTTCCCCAGCCTAGCCTAGTTGCCAAGAGAACGTACGGTACGCTCAATCGGGTTTCTCTTTTCACGGCTGTACCTAAGGTGTAAGCAGCTGTGCGAAGTTGATCGTTCATCGGCCAACTCCTGGAAGCCTATTCCTCGCTTTTCGGTTGTCCGTCTCTCAAACGTTCACCATAGATGCTCTTTGATTGTCCATCCAGTAGTATTTTTTCCAAGTCAGCAGCTATTGCTGCCCGCCGCTCAGGAGTCATTAACACGCCTTTGTTCGATAACAACCGAGTCGTCTCAGAAAGGTACGCTTCGAACTCCTCAGAAGTCATCTGCGCAGCATACAAGGGGTATAGTCAGAAAACCAGAGATGGATGATTAGGGAATAACGAGAAGAGAAGCAGGCTGCCTTGAAAGTTGAAAATAGCAGTCTAGAACCATGTAGAGCAGGTCAAGGTGTCTAGCTTTCAAGATCAAGTCCGTACAGAGTCGGGAAAGTACAGCTGCTGAGCAACTTACGAAGTACGAGTTCGCAATTTTGTACAGTCATAAAGGGACGAGGTAACGATACTCGGGATCCGTCACTAGAATAAGAAGCACGTATCCAACCAGATTGAACAGCTTGTCTGCAGCCTGCATCGACCACATTCCCCAAGTCGTCCTCACAATCTTTCACTCACCTCGGGTTGAGGCTGCTCCAAACTGTCGTCTGCGGCCGTACCAACTTGTTGCCGATTCCCGTTTGCGCCTCGGGCCCTTGATAAGCGCCTTGCTTTAAGAATCGCCTCGTTCTCTCTGTATAAAAATAAGACGGCCTTATGACACTTGACGGCTTTCTGCTTATTCCAGAATGCTGACTGCAACAGGGTGGAAGTCGGGAGTTGTAGAGCCACGATACACAGGGGCAGCAATATAAGGAAGGCCTTCTTTCAACCCGTACTTTCAACCCGTAAGTGCTGGGAAGTCAGAGCATAAGACTTGAAAGCCCGAACTCGACAAGGAAGCAGAGTTAAGGGGCAAACTGCTTCCCCACGCTTCTTCAAAGGTTGGAGCCTTGCAAACGCAGAATGGCAGCCATCAAAGAGCAGCTTCTTTCGACTCACCCTGCTAATGGCCGAATGTCGCCAAAGCAGCCAAGGAACCCTTCCATCGCGTCTCCATCGACCACAATCATCGGTGGCTTGCAATTTTTCATCGCTTCCTCTGCTTCTTTCTTCCTATCTAAACGGGATGTTGTGATATAAAAGACTCTGAGGTTCGGGGCTTTGGGACCTTTCGAGATGTTTGTGTGTTGCTGTAAGACTGTTTTTACTGCATTCTTTCCCCCTGTTCGTTTGCAACTGAAGATGTTAAGCGATACCTCGCCGGTCTCTCCCAGCACTCGGGTGACATGTAGGTCAGCCGCTGTGCAGTCCTTCCCGCTTGCATAAGGATCCATTCTAAAGACCAGATTTAAATCGAGATATGACCTCGACAGCGGCTGGTTTCTTTCGTAGGGTTTGACTTCGACTAACCCGTCTGCGGGCACTTGCCATGTGTAGGCGTTATCGATCAAAGGATCCCTCATGTACTGAAAGACTGACAAAAGCCTGACCTCAACCTCCTGCAACAAAAGGCTTCGAGTCAGAGCTGACTTGCTTCCGAGAGCGATGCTTCGCCATGAGTGCAGTCACAGGGTCAGGACCAGGCACTACATGAGCAAACAGCTTCACGATGAGGCCCAACCCTTGTCCTCCTACTGACGTCTACTTTCCTTCTTCTGCGCTCCATCAAAACAGAGTCCAAGCAGCTTCCTGGAAAACCTCGCGTTTTCGGATGGCGGAGCGAATGCATACTCCAGCATCCATGACGTTTAGAGTTCCAAAGATTCGAGCACCTTTCGACAGATCCAACAGAAACGTGGATTGGGTTAAGAAAAAGAAACCATGACGCTCAGCAGATCGAGTCTCGTCGTGGAGACAAGCTCAGCGTACCTCGTTCAAAGTCGATTCTGCAGCAATAGCTGTGGGGTAGAGATCTCTCAGGCGTTTTCGCACGCTCTCCGGAGCCGATGCTGCCCCTGTGTGCAACCGCTCCAACTCCAGGACGAGCCACGAGAGCACCGCTTCCCTCGCAGACACCATCTCCTCCAGACGCGTTCCGTCAAGCGCTCCACCGCAGCCTAAGTCCCATAGCAGGCCTAACCCTGGCACGCTGTCAAGCTGCCCCAATCTTTTGAGCTCCCGGATAACTAGCTGCAGCAGGTAATACGGCATGGTGAGCCGTTGAACCGACTGCTCCTCTAAAACCTGTCGAGTCCCCAGCCTATCTTTCGCCCCTTCCTTCACCTCCTTCACCTTCTTATGGATCAGCAATCGTCTTTTCGCCTTCGCTGCTTCCGTGAGGTACGGCATGGTCAGCTCCAAAATCTGTTCTAGCTTCCGCTCAGGGTCTCGGCCCACTAGCATTGTGGTCTGCTCGATCGGGTAGGCTACCAAAACCATGCTAACGAGAACTTTCGCAACCTCCACCCCCCCCCAGCGCTCTATCAGGTCGCTTCCCCTGAACCATATCTCAACCTCTTCTTCCACATACGGCTCCATGATTGCCGCCAGCTTGGCGTAGATCCCGGGGGCTGCAACCTCTGGTAGCCGCTCCCAAAATGCAGGTCTGACAGCCGCTCTCGCCACTGCCATAAGATAACGGGGAACGCCCCCAGCTTTCGCAAGAAGGAGGCGCACGGGACCGCTATAAACGAACTCGAAGATCTTGTCGGCTTCAGAGGGGTGCTTTGAGAGCATCACGCTTTCCACGAAGGCGGCTGGCAGCTCCCCGTCGTCCCGCAGCTCCAAGAGGTCGTGCATCTTGGCGGCGCCGTACTCAGTCAGCTCGAAGGAGCGTTGCACCTTGTGCAGGTTGGTCCCCATTGGTATAAACATGAGAGCTGCAATCAGAGAAGCGGCAGGAAGGTTGGTCATCTTATATTACTAAACGTCCCAATGGAAGCAGCCAGCATCACACAAGGTTTAACACTTCAGAGCTGATAGACAAGATAAACAAAGCACAATCTGCATCACATAGAAGTAACTGCCAGATAGATGCTCTCTGCAGCGCTTCACAGCGTGCAGAATATTGAGAATGAACCTTGACACCCTAAAAAGGCAGCCCGCTACTCTCAGCAACCGACCTATCAAAATCAAACGGAAGCCAATGTGGTTCTGTCCAGACTGGCTTAGAGAGCAACGAATACTTAACATCAGATGCTAACGGCTGCATCACTGGAAGTGCCCATAATCTTTCTCCAGAAAGCGGGGTGGAAGCACATCTTACCATGGAAATCCTTGCCAGAGTACAGGGACTTGTAGTCGCAGACGGCTTTTAGGATTGTCTTCAGCGCCGTCTGCGGATCAATCTTGCAGAGTCGCTCCAGTTTAGATGCCGCCAGCTGAATCTCGTCCATGACTATGATGCTTGCTAGCACGGACTGCTCAGGGAAGCCTCCTTGTTCGCGGACCAGTTTCGCCCGCAGGCGGCACACGTTCTTGATGGTAAATAGCTGCTCCAGCCTCTGCAAGCAGCAAAAGGAAGTCAGACACATGCCTTCATCAACCAGCTCGCGGAGTCAAAAGCAAACCAGACTATGAGAGCTGCTACGACCTTATTCTGCAACCTTGATTGGACTAAAAGTGGAGACAACCTCACTGACAACCCTGCTTAGTGAGGAGCATCTGACACATCACCCCGTCGCAGCAACCTGGATAAACCCTTCCAAGTCTTCCAGAGAAGACTGCCAAAGCATCAACCAATATCCAACTTATCTTATGAATCCTGCCGTCATCACCTAGGGTCTTTTAGTGAGCTCAACATACTGCGCCGCAAAAGAATGAGTGCATATTCTCACCTTGGTTGTGATGACTGTCCGCAGTTCTACCGCCGTGAAGTTGAAAAAGAGGGAGGCGTACAGGCGGAGCCCAATCGCCCGATCTGCTGCCTTGGCATCGAAGCGCCCGTTGGTGCAGTCAGCCAGTGTGAATTCCCCCCCGGTGCCATTGAACTCCATGTAAGCGTAGCTGATACGGCCTACAGGAATCACAAGTGGTCGATAAACATCAAGAAAAGGAGAGAACATTACCAGGCACGCAACAGGTGCACTTGCAGAGCAGCTCTGAATACCCTTTGCTAAGAGGAGTTTGTTGACAGGCCAACATAGTGGAGCTGCTTAGAGCTTTTTCTCACCACTGTCCAAGAGGCGGACGCCGTCTTCCAGCTCCCGCACATCAATGTTGATCTTCAGGTTCTTCAGGGCCGCAAGAAGATCCCGATGCTCCAGCAGTAAACCAGCTAGGAGTCCCACACTGCCTTTCGTGATCTCCTCACCCAACCTGGTCTTGCCAATCCCAGGACCTCCTTGCCATGGAGACGCGTGAACTTGGTCCCGCGGGATCCTGCGCCCTGCATAGAAGTCATTGGTGCGGAGCGTAGCCATCAGCTGCAGAGAAGGGTAACTGCATCAGTCACAAGAAGATTGCCAAAACCTCTGTTTAGGACCCCCAGAAGTCAGACTGCCTGCAGGAAATTTATCGTAGACAGAGGAAGAGACAACTGTTCAGCATTCATCCATAGATGCCCCTTGGAGGTCTTTGAACAAGCAAAGGAACAAGGACGTGAAAGTAGTAGGCCTCTGAAGTCCAATCACGAGGGACTTACTTCTTGAAGAACTTCTAAGACTTCTGCTTCTCTGCCCACAAACATCGAAACCTCTGGCTCCGGAGGGACTCTCTGAAGATGTTGCGATAGGATCGCATGAACAGCTTCCAAGTCACGGCAGGAGCGCAGCCTGACACATAGGGCAAGCGAAAAGTAAGGACCATAGAGGAGGGAGAAGTGGTGCGCCGCTACGCAATTGACCTTTGAGTGCAATGATGGACTAAGCATCAGCTGTAGACTGCAGGATGCTTTCTTACGCAACTACAGCAATGTTCCCTGTCAGTCAAATCATCAACTGCAGTCTACTTTCAACAAGCACCAGGGGAGGCGAAATTGAAATTCACAGGGAATGAGCCTCAGAAACCCTAAGAACCTTCTGAAGTGACTAATTCTTAGGAGTCCTACCTCCTGATGATTCCCTGGGTATCTTTGCCCTCAGCATCGCCTGCAAAGAAACCGCCCTTCTCAGCGGTGACTCTCAGCCTATTAGCTGCTACCGTCTGGACATGGACTCTTTCTCGCAGCAGACTTTGCCTACCTAGACTGACAGGAGGTGGTGGTGGTGGTTTTACTCGAGAACGGAAGAGTGGCGGATGTACAAGACTGTGCAGACCTGCTGCAAAGCACCCGACAGGAGTGAGTCTGCAAGAGAGAGTGGATGGGGAAACCTCATGTCTGTGTGAGAAGGGACGTGCTTGAACCACCTGTGTGGCTGGGCACGACATTGCGAAGACTTGTGATACTATTGCAGTAGCGACTGTCTGAAAGCCTGCATCTAGGCAGCTAGGGTGGTCAAGCGGCACCTGGTGGAAGCAGCCACTGCAACTTGTGCAAGTTCTCAGGCTTCCAACTTTTCTCAAGTTGGAGTGGAGTCAGGAGTCGAGACTCGAGAGTCGGTCCTCTGCAATGAAAAAGCCTCGGCCGATCGGAAGGCTTTTCAGATCGTGGTTTTGGCCATAAAAACAACGATCGAAAAATCCGGGAAGTCGCAAAACTCGATTTTTCGAAGCCCAGTGTGGAAAGGCTTTCCGAGCGATTCCTCAAGAAAGAGGGCTTCTCCAAAAAGCCCGGAACCACGAAGTCGCTCAGTGTGGAGGCCGCCCAGGAGTCCTCTGCAATCTACATGACAACTAACATAAAACTGGCCAATCTCGAGCCGCCACGTGTCCCCCACTTCCGTCTGAGCCGGTGGCCTCGGTTGTCCGCTACGGGTCTGGCCCGACCGGATCAGTTTCCGAGTGGGGCAGTTTGAGTCGGAGGGCCAAAATTCGGGCCGCACGTTGAATTACGTATACCACCGGTGAGAGGGCCAATATATATTCCGCCAAAAACTCTGCCCCCACGTTGCATTACGTATTACATTCTGGTGTAATTTCGGTACGTATCAGCGTCTCCTCGCGACACGTGTACGTGTTTACGGTACCTTTGGGTACGTGGACGCTTCTGAGGCCTTTGCGACTCGACAAAATTTTGACCAGGCGGCAGCCTCCGCCCTATAAATTCCAAATTTGCAGACGCAAATTCTCAGTCCCAGTTTCCATACCTTCCCAACAAGCACCAAACCGCCTACTCCGGACCCACTGAAGCGCCGACCAGTACTACTTGCGAGCAAGAGCCTGATTCTAAAACAACGAAAGTGTGATTTGAGTGCCATACCTTTCAATAGAAGCCGGCGCTCGGAAAGGGGCCTGCCCGAGCCAGCCAGGAGCCAACCATGCCTACAACTAACCAACAGATGGATCTTCCGGGCCGCCACGTGTCCCACCACCGAAGAAGCAGGCTGTCCCTTAAATTTCCCAGTTGTGTGTCGCCCGGTCTGCCATGGGTCTGGCATTCCACGGGGGCTGCCGAAACACTAGTCGGTAGAGAATCGTCTCCGTGCCTGGTTCGGATTGCAAAGGCTTTTGAAATGTGCAAATATATTTGCGTCCATAAGTAGGAGTCCTGTTCGATTTGGGTATGTGTTATTTAAATATGTATACCAAGATACCTATTTTCATCTGCTTCGATCCTACCAATATTGCTTCGGCAATTTTTATATGTCGATACGGAGTCTTTGGTCTCGGATTTGCGCTGCCAAACCTGAAGCTGGAGTGGGCCACTTGTCAGCATTTTCGCCAACTTGGGTGAGTCAGCTGAGCTAGAGTCTGGTAAGTTCGCGCCAAGACTCATCAATCAGCAGGGACATCAGGAACATCAGGGACACATGCTCAGACTGTCGGTCCACTTCGTGCTAGGGCAGGACTGCCATTTGTACTAGTAGCTATCATCACTGACCAAGTTCTAGCTGCTGTGAAGTTTTTAAGAGCAGCAAAACTCTGGTCTTGTGGAAGATTCGCGTTCTCGTAAGTCACTTCAGCAAGCAGATTGGTCGTTGCAAACCCGTGGCCGCCCGGTACAGATCGCTTTCCATAGATTGACATCTGATCCCCGGGCCGACCAAAAACTCCAGTCAAGGCACGGAGAGCAGCCAGCAGACTGCCTCCCTCTCGGTGGTTTTCAGACTCAGTTGGCAGGCGGCCGTCTAATCAGCTGTCACAGTTGCCACATGCTGGTATTGTCAGGTAAGTACAGATATTCATCCTTTCTGCACCTCTGAAGGAATAGAAACGGCGTTCAGCAGACGCCACCATGTAACTTCACTGAGGTACCAAAGCGTCAAGAGTAATATCAAAGTCCAACTTTCGTCTTGCAGAATGCGTTCAGTCGGATGTCAATTTGGGCCGGAGGCTCGTGGATGTCTGGTACTTTCCAGCGGAACCGGGCGCTCTGCTTCATATGAACAGTCCTCTTTCGCTTGTGATCGCTTCATTTTACATCGATGTGTCCGCCACTCTTTCTGGCTGAACACATCGATCAATAGCACACCATCGTAGAGTGTACGCAGGGCATTGTGGAGGCGGAAGAGGCAACGTCAGGGTGGCCACAATCGGCAGATAGAGTAGGCTAACAATCAGTAGATGACTGAAGGAGTGGATCACTTGGGTGGTTTCGGCTCCAACGACGGACTTGAAGCTGGTTGAATACTTTCCCAAGATGGGGCCTGCACTTAATCAGGGGCAAGGTTGCGCTATGCATGGCAAATTACTCAATGTTGAGACAAGGAGCGCCCTTCAGGATTTCTGAGGTGGACAGTTGGGACACCAAGGACAGCAGGGACACTCATCGGCACACATAAACGTTCCGGTTGGAACAAAGAGTCTAGAGACTGTAGTTTTGATCGAACATGATGTTGCTTGGGACACATGGACACTTCGGACACCGAGGACACCAGGGACACTCATCCGCACACACAAACATTCCGGTCGGAACGAAAAGTCTAGACACAAAAGCTTGCGATGCATAGTTTGTGCTCGAACAGAAGTTGCTTGGGACACATGGACACTTGAGACACATGGACACTTGGGAATTGACGAGTCGTGTTTGTTCCGCGAGAGTCTCTACTTTTGACAGGGGGCGTCCGGAAAGTAGGATGTCAACTTGGATATTGGTGTGGTTGCCATTGGTTGTGTCGCTGATACCAACGCTTTGCTCAGTTCGTTTTGTGATGACTGTCCATGAAGGGCACAGAAAGCGACACGTGCTTTGAACACTGTGAAACTCCTGCATGGTGGCCAACCGCTACCTCATCTGACAGCTCTTCTCGCGTCCTCCTTATATGCAGAATCAAGTAGCCGAAGTCTTGTTGATTCAGGAGAACAGAAGAACATTGATCAGAGACTGCAGCTTCAGTCGTCTGGAGCACTTTGATGGCAGCTGGCAGCAGTGATCGTAAGTGCTCTAATTTTTAGCAGCGACATACCACGTGGTTGGTGTCCAGATCAAAATGACAGGAGAGCAAGAAAACGACCAGTTTTTGGGCATGGTAAGCGATCTGAGCCGTCTGCCAGATTTGAGTTGAGTAGCTCAATCAACAGAATTGTTTCTGCCAAAGGTTCGCCACACTTTGCTAATGGATGGATGTAGTTGGGCTGTGACGATTCGAGTCTATGAATCTTCATATCGAACTCGTCCCAGTATATTGTCCGCGCGCGTATGGCGTA